CCCAAAACCCCCCCCCCCCCCCTGAGGTGACCCCAAAACCCCCCCCCCCCCCGAGATGGGGACAGGGACACCCCAAAACCCCCCTGAGATATCGAGGTGACCCCAAAACTCCCCTGAGCCCCGAGATGGGGACAGGGACACCCCAAAACCACCCGGGACATCAGGGTGACCCCAAAACTCCCCTGAACCCCGAGATTGGGGACAGGGACACCCCAAAACCCCCAGGACATTGAGGTGACCCCAAAACCCCCCTGAACCCCGAGACTGGGGACAGGGACACCCCAAAACCCCCAGGACATTGAGGTGACCCCAAAACCCCCCTGAACCCCGAGACTGGGGACAGGGACACCCCAAAACCACCCGGGACATCGGGGTGACCCCAAAACTCCCCTGAACCCCGAGATTGAGGACAGGGACACCCCAAAACCCCCCCGGGACATTGAGGTGACCCCAAAACTCCCCTGAACCCCGAGATGGGGACAGGGACACCCCAAAATCCCCCTGAGATATCGGGGTGACCCCAAAACCTCTCAGAGCTGCTCTGGGGGGGTTTTGGGGAGCACTGGGGAGGCACGGGGGGATTTTGGGGGGCACTGGGAGATTTTGGGGGGTGCTAGGGGGGATTTTGGGGGTCGCAGGTGGATTTTGGGGGCCTCTAGGGGGGCACGGGGATTTCGGGGGGCACTGGGGAAATTTTGGGGGTCACCAGTTGATTTTGGGGGTTTTAGGGGGGCAGGACCTGCTCCAGCAGCGCCCGCGAGGCCGGCGGGAGCACAGGGGGATTTCGGGGGTCCCTGGGTGGATTTCGGGGCTCACAGGCGGATTTTTGGGGATCACAGGCAGATTTTGGGGGTCTCTGGGTGGATTTTGGGGATCACAGGCAGATTTTTGGGGGTTTTAGGGGGGCAGGACCTGCTCCAGCAGCGCCTGCGAGGCCGGCAGGAGCACAGGGGGATTTTGGGGGGTTTTGGGGTCACAGGCAGATTTTGGGGGTCCCAGGCAGATTTCGGTGGTCCCTGGGTGGATTTCGGGGGTCACAGGCAGATCTCAGTGGTCCCTGGGTGGATTTCGAGGCTCACAGGTGGATTTTTGGGGGTCACAGGCAGATTTTGGGGATCACAGGCAGATTTTTGGGGATCACAGGCAGATTTTTGGGGGTCACAGGCAGATTTTTGGGGATCACAGGCAGATTTTGGGGGTCACCAGTGGATTTTGGGGCTCACAGGCAGATTTTGGGGCTCACAGGCAGATTTTGGGGTTTTAGGGGGGCAGGACCTGCTCCAGCAGCGCCCGCGCGGCCGGCGGCAGCCGCTCGGGGAAGGCCACCTCGAACTCCAGCACCAGGTCCCCGCGGCGCTCCGGCGAGCGCGGCAGCGGCAGCCCCTGGCCCGGCACGCGGCGCCGCGCGCCCGGCCGCAGCACGTCCTGGAACTGCACGGGCACCGAGCGGCCGTCCAGCGTGGGCACGGACAGCGAGCAGCCGCAGAGAGCCTGGAACACGCCAAGGACATGGGAGTGACATGGGAGCGACATGGGAGTGACATGGGACATGTTAGTGACATGGGACATGTGATGGACACGGGGACATGGGGATGTGCCACGGGCACCGAGCGGCCGTCCAGCATGGGCACGGACAGCGAGCAGCCGCAGAGAGCCTGGAACACGCCAAGGACATGGGAGTGACATGGGAGTGACATGGAAGTGACATGGGACATGGGGACATGGGGATATGTCAGTGACATGGGGATACACGGATGTGCCACGTCCTGGAACCGCACGGGCACCGAGCGGCCGCACAGAGCCTGGAACACGCCAAGGACATGGCAGTGACATGGGAGTGACATGGGAGTGACATAGGACATGTGATGGACACGGGGACATGGGGATGTGCCACAGGCACCGAGCGGCCGTCCAGCGTGGGCACGGACAGCGAGCAGCCGCACAGGGCCTGGAACACGCCAAGGACATGGGAGTGACATGGGAGTGACATGGGACATGTCAGTAACATGGGGATACACAGATGTGCCACGTCCTGGAACCGCACGGGCACCGAGCGGCCGCACAGGGCCTGGGGACACGGCAGGGACACGTCAAGGACATGGGACACGTGATGGACACGGGACACGTCAGGGACACGGGGACATGGGGACACGTCAGGGACACGGGGACATGGGGACACATCAGGGACAGGGACAGTTCAGTGACCCCAGAGTGACCCCAGAGTGACCCACCCATCCTGATGTCCCCAAGCCCACCCACCCTGATGTCCCCAACCCATCCTGATGTCCCCAAGCCCACCCACTCAGCTATCCCCAAGCCCACCCATCTTGATGTCACCATGATGCCCACCAGGCCCTGATGTCCCCATGAAGCCCACCCACCCTGATGTCCCCCACCCACCCTGATGTCCCCAACCCATCCTGATGTCCCCAAGACGATCCATCTATGATGTCCCCATGATGCCCACCCACCCTGATGTCCCCAACCCATCCTGATGTCCTCAAGCCCACCCATCCTGATGTCCCCATGAAGCCCACCCATCCTAACGTCCCCTCACCCATCCTGACGTCCCCAACCCATCCCTGATGTCCCCAAGACGATCCATCTATGATGTCCCCATGATGCCCACCCATCCTGATGTCCCCAAGCCCATCCTGATGTCCCCAAGATGATCCATGATGTCCCCATGATGCCCACCCATCCTGATGTCCCTCACCCATCCTGATCTCTCCAAGCCCACCCACCCTGATGTCCTCAAACCCACCCACACTGATGTCCCCAACCCATCCTTGATGTCCCCAAGAACGATCCATCTGTGATGTCCCCATGATGCCCACCCATCCTGA